GGCTTGATGATAGACAACTACTATGTCTCATTACACCCATGGCATGACGACGTGACGGTGACCAGGCCCAGGCGGGGCGTACAGTCGTGCTAAGCCAGCATACCCTAACAGTGCAGAGCTACGACAGCATGTTTCGGAGTGTTTGTTAGAGCTTCGGGTACTTGCGCTAGGCACATTGATTAAAAAAAACCGTTTTCGCAGTGCAAGCAAGCAAGTAGCGATGGGTGACGTTGCATGGATGTGTGCAAACAGCGTGTTTGTTCCTCTTGTCTGCCTCCGTCTGTCGCGACTCAATGCATGTGTGTGACACACACACACACACACACACACACACACACACACACACACACACACACACACACACACACAACCCAAGACGCAAAGGCTTGCTTTGTTGCCACACCGTGATTCCGAGAAGGCCGTCTTCGCCCCAACGGTAGGCGCGCTGGCGAGCATGCTCATGAGGAAAGTAATCCCAAGCACTCCCGTCCGCACTGGGCAAACGAGAAAAAGCCGTGCAGAACCATGTTCTTTCATGAGAAGGAGGGACCCAAGGCATCATCAGCCAACAGCAGACAGATGCACTCTCGTGCTACAACACAATCAACTTGTTCTGCACACCATGCACCAAGCGCGCAGTCGTGACGAAAGCAGCACGGGTGGTGCATGCAAGCAAAGCGATGGGGGGGGGAGATACAGTGTGGTGAAACGCGCACCTGTAGTCCTCACGGACAGTGCCCCACTGCCGCTCGCTCAGATAAGGACCCCATCGTCCTGCACATGTATGAGTGTGTGTGTGTGTGTGTTTGTGAGTGCACGATGCATGTGCGCATGCTTGAGTGTAAGTATGTGGGTGCACGATGCATGTGCGCATGCTTGAGTGTGTTGGCGAGGAAGCGAGTCGCAGTGCGTGGTCTTGTGCACTGCAGGGCAATCAAGCAAGCAAGATCAAGTGTCCGAGTGTCCACCATGCCCTCCTAAAACACTCACACCAACTCCAAAGCTCACCCCAGTTCTTGGTGCGGCTCTTGGCCTGCAGCATGCGCTTGTATTCCTCGACGTCACCGTCCCACTGCTTGGTGCCATGGCGCGCCAGCACCCCTTTGCGTCGACCAGACATCCTCCTGCTTCAACTTTGAGATGCGGGGAAAATCACACAAGCACACAGACACACAGTCTCCTTCTTGAGGTTGTGTTGAGGTGTGTTCGATCGCCAACGACAACAACAACAATACCAACGACAGCAATACCAACGACAACAACAACAACAAATGAGACCAAGGCCAATCAGTCGATGCCACAAACAACAAAGCGCAAAACCGCAGCAAAACACATTCGATGTGCAAAGCGAGAACGTAAGTGACGCACCCCTTCACAACACACACACGAGCCAAGAGACACGACTTGTGCACCTTCGAGGTGGTTAGGCTCGGGCGTATTGGCTTGGCTTGGCTTGGCTTGGCTTCGCTTGATGTGAGTTGTGAAGGACGCGTCGGTCCAGTCAGTCAGTTCACTGTTTTGTGTGCTTCTGCTTGCAGGCAAGGGCAAACGCAAGTTCTTTCTTTTTGAGGAGGCGTTGTTTTGGTGTCCTTCCAGAATAGTTTTCACGTTTATTCTGCCTCCCAGGTTTGATGCACAATTAACAAGGCGGTTTCTCCGAACACAACAACAAGCAAGCAAACGAAACGACTGCTGGCTCCTCACCTTGTTGCTTTGCTTGTCTCATGTTGACACACATGTGGTCTGTTGATGCATGTGGTCTGTTGATGCATGTGGTCTGTTGAGCAGCTGAGGCTTGCGAGCGAGGAGGAGCGAGACCTGTGTTGGGGTTGAAGAGAAAGAGAGAGAAGAGAAGAGGATCAAAGCAAGGCATGTCACGGTCGTCGCTGGGAACATTTGAGGACGAGGACGCACAGCTGGCGGTTGGCAGCGACGTGGACGACCACGACGTCTGGGCAAGCACCGGTGCGTGGACGGCAAGTGACCATGACCAAGCCCTCGCCACGAGCACATCCTCCTCATACAGAAGCGATGCACCCCAGCGCCGCCGACAACCACGGGAGCGGTCAGGCCCCACATACGAGACGCGTTTGACAAGCTTCCGACGACAGCCGAGGTACGACGACCAAGCCAACTCCAGCGTCGACGAGGACACCAGCGAGGTTGACGCGCCGCGCGTGCTGGACTTGCTGTCGCACAGCGCCGACCACTTGTCGTTCGACGCACACGGCCCACCCAGCGACCACAACAACAGTGAGTACGAAGACGGTGAGCGGTACAACCATCGACACACGTCCTCCATCAACACAACAAACAACAAGGGCACCTCCAATAACCATGACAGCGAAGACGAGGAGAACTGCGCTGGCCGGGATGAGGGCGACGAACACGACGACGACACCGGTAGTGACAATGACGATTACGACGATGATGACGACTACGACAACAGTGACGACTATGACAGTGGCCGTCAAGCATACGGCTATGGGCAACGAGACACACACCCAGCCAAAGACACGGAGGAAGAGGACGACAGCATTGTTTTCGACGACGCCGACAGCTTCGGCAGTTCCGAAGAGCAGTGGTTTGAGCCGTCCGAGGCAGGGCCCAGCCCGGCACCGTACAGCCAAAGCCACAACAACAACAACAACAACAACAACAACAACAACAACAGCAACAACAACAACAACAACAACAACAACAATGCAATGCCTGCACCCCATAGTGGTAGCCACACAGCACACGCTGATGGCGATAGCGAGCAGGATGACAGTGGAGACTCTGTGTTCACGTCGCAGAGCAGTGAAGGCCGCGACCAAACACGAGGTGGAGAAGACACACGGGCAAGCAGGGAGCACTCGCAAGGCAGTGAGCAGAGCGCGGGGGCTGTGGGCACAACGCCGTCATCGTCATCACCGACACCAACAGCAACAGCAACAGCAACAGCGCGGTCGTCGACCCAAGGGCAAGGCGATGGGGATGACATGGCACCCGTGGAGTTTGACGTGTGCTGCATCTCGAGCGAGGAAGAGGGGGAGGAGCAACTTGGAGAAGACGCAAGATCGGCGAACAGTGGCGATGTTGGTGGTGGTGGTGGTGGTAGTCGCGGGGACACTGGTGGTGACCAATGCATTGATGGTGACCAGCAGCTTGCTGCCTCTGTCAACCACGCAGCGCAACAACAACAACAACAACAACAACAACAACAACAACAACAACAACAACAACAACAACAACAACAACAACAACAACAGCAACAACAACAACAGCAGAATCAGCAACAGCGAAGTAGTGAGCACATCATCACTGTCACGGACACGTCGACAGAGGTGACGCGAACAGCGCACCAGCCTTCGGCCCCACAACAACAACAACAACGACGACGACAACAGCAGCAGCAGCAGCAGCGGTTGTTGTTGCAGCAAGAGAACGGCACGAGTGAGAAGAGTGTTGAAGGAGAAGACGAGGGAGAGCAGACACAGAAGAAGAAGCAGAAGAAAGAAGGCCAGCGTGTCTGGACGGAAGAGGAGGTGTGGAAGTCGCACGTGGAGGAGATGGACGCCACCATCAACAAGCAGCTGATCCTGTACACGCCCGCGGCCACATCCATCACGTTGTACCTGGCCACCCTCATGGCGCCCGTGTGCACGTCGACTGGTGACCCGCCAGCGTACATTATTCTTCGCTTGCTCGTCTACACCGTCTCCTGCTGCTTATACATCATCGCGGACGTGTACGACGAGTTTGACGAGGCAGATGCGTACCTGCACCAGACCAGGCCGTACCCCATTGTCATCATGCAGTATGTGATTGCGCTCTTGGCGATGATCGACACTGTAATGCGTGTCATTGTCAACGCATCGCCAGGCACCCCGCTTCGCATGCACCTCGTACGTCCTTGGTGTGTGTGTGTGTGTGTCTGTGTGTCTGTGTGTGTGTGTGTCTGTGTGTCTGTGTGTGTCTGTGTCTGTGTGTGTCTCTCTCTGTCTGTGTGTCTGTGTGTCTGTGTCTGTGTGTCTGTGTGTGTGTGTGTGTGTGGTTTTATGTGCTGACATTCATTGCGACACCAACCAACCAACATCAAATCTGTGCAAGCCTGCGCATGCCAACGCTTGCGCTTATTTACTTCACCACATCTGCACGCAACCGTGACATTGGCTGCCTTGATTGGCCGTTCAACAAATCCTCCCCTCCCCGGCTACTTGCACCACTGCCATTGCTTGGCCGTTACGGTCTCGCCAATCAACCTCCCTCACTTCTTCCTCCTCTTCCTCGATATCCCACCTTCAACCCTCTGCTCCCGCCCATTCCTACCACTGCGTGCGCTTGTGCCTCGCGTGTGCAGTACGACTGGTTCAACGTGCTGTGCTTTGTGCCGCTCCTCGTTGCTGTCTGCACCACGTGGCACAACGTCTACTCCCCAACGTTCCTGCACTGCTGGGCAGCCCGCCAGTCACTCAGGTGCCGCCTGCTACTCTCACGCGCCGCCGAGGAGAGCGTCTATGCGTGTCATTGCATGTCATGTGTGCGTGTGTGTCTTGACTGTGTAGGAACAGCTTACGCGCGCCCACCTGGTGTTGTGTCTGCTGGCTGTTGACACTGAACACCACCGCAAACACGCACACATACACTCACTCACTGACACTCACTGACACGCACGCACGCACGCACATACCTGCAACCGCGACCAGGCTGCTGTTCCGGACGCGACTTGAAGGGCTGATTCGGCTGGAGCGGCGCTCGGAGGATGCTGTCTTCTCCATCTACGACTTTATCAATCTTTCCGGCACGCTTGTCTGCATCCTCTTCACTGCCGCATGCGGTGTCGAGCACCTTGCAAGGTCACACACACACACACACACACACACACACACACACACACACACACACACACAAGCGCACATGCCCACACACATGATAACACATATGTTAACACACACGCACACACATCCCACGCACGCACGCACACACACACACATCCCACGCTCAAGTTGCCACTGCGTCTCGCACGTTTGCACTTCACCGCCACCGCGTCAACAGGAATGGAGTGGAGGAACAGCTGAATCTGTTTGATGCACTGTGGTTCTCCCTGGTAAGCAGCAACCCTGCCACCCCGTACAATTTTGGTCGTGTCCAGAAAGACTTGCACATGCAGCCATCATTCACATCAATTAACATTCACAGCAACGACAAAGATGCACAACACAGCCCATCCCTCAACTCTCGCCTCTCCCTCCTGCTCCTCTCGTGTGCGTGCGCGTTTGCTTTGATGGCAGGTGACCTTTTCCACCGTTGGTTACGGCGACATCACGCCAGACAATTCAGCGGGCAGACTCTGGGTACGCAGCGCACACAGACCGCCAACATGGCATCCATCACAGGCTGCTTGTCACACCCCCACGCCTCACACTACCATTCACACTGCCGTCGCACTACTGTTTGCACTGCCATCCACGCCAACACCGCGATACGCGGTCCACAGGTGCTTGGAATGATCGTGCTGATTCTGGTGCTGCTGCCGCGAGAGCTTGGCCGTCTGGCGGAGATTTACAAGCGGAGCCGCATCACGGGCGGCAGCTACTCCGGACGGAGCAGGACGGGACACGTCGTCTTCTGTGGCGGCCACGTTCACACAGACACCGTCAGAGGTCGGCATGCTCACTGCAGTGGTGTGCGGGGTCCTTGCTCCCCAACGCATCTGACACGTCTTGCACATGTTTTGCCAACAGCTCACACACACACATACATACACACACACACGACACACACACACACACACACGACACACATACACACACACGACACACACGCACACACACGACACACACACACACACACACGACACACATACACACACACACAGACTTCCTGTTTGAGTTCTTTGCGGACAAGCAGGAGACGCGGCCGTTTGTGGTGGTGATGGTCTCTGTTGAGCCGTCACGCGAGCTTCTCGCCCTCCTGAAGCAGCCACGTTGGCGCAACAAGACAAAGGTTCTTACCATGTGCACTGGCCTCTGTGTGTTGTCCGACCCCCTCCTGCTCACACACTCACGCGCACACTCACATACACACACGCACACCCCGTACGCACTCACTCACACCATTAACTCACTCACTCACTCTCACCTACCCCTGCGTTGTTCGCCCTTCCGTCCCTCCACCCGTGTTGCGCTTCAGCTGTTGCGCGGGAGTGCTTTGCAGACGGAGGACCTGAACCGGGCGCTGATCCAGACGGCGGACGCCGTGTTCCTCGTCAGCGAACGCCGTGACTTCAGCGCAGAGGAGGCCGATGCCCGTACCATCCTCAGGTCCTGGGCTATCAACGACTTCCAGGTGCCCACCCACACACCAATGCTCCAGTTCCCTCCATTGTCTTGACACTGCTGCTGCTGCTGTTGTTTAAGTTGTTGTTGCTGTTGTTTAAGTTGTTGTTGCTGTTGTTGTTGTTGTTGTTGTTGCTGTTGTTGTTGTTGTTGTTGTTGTTGTTGTTGCTGTTGTTGTTTCAAGTTGGTCTTGCCATTGCTTGGTCCGTGCTCATCCTCGACTCAACACTCACGCCACACCCGGCCGCTCATGACAACATTCAATCGCGCCCCTCGTCCCAAACGCCAGCCCACGGTGCGGCAGTATGTGCAGATTCTGCTGCCGGAGAACACGATCCACATTGAGAAAGTGAATGGCGTTGTGATCTGCGGCGAAGAGCTACGGCTTGCTCTCCTCTCGTATTCATGTACCACCCTCGGCATCTCAACCCTGGTCAGTGCATGTGCTCAACCTGTTTCTGCCGCGTGCCTTGCGTTGGAATTAACGCCAATGCCGTTTTGAAATCGCATCGTTGCCGATGGAGCGCGCACTCTCACTCACTCAAACATACACACACATGCTCACTCACACACATGCGCACATGCACACACTCAATCATCCAACTTGTATCGAGCAGGTGACGCAGCTGATTCACACAACGTTCCACACGGCGCGGCACGCCCAGCTGCGCAACCGCTACGAGCTCATCTGCCGCACAGAGAGGGACCTCATGTCCCGCCTCAGCACAGGTCAGCATCACATGCTGTGCTTGATACCATCTCACACACGCACACACACACACACGCGCGCACCCAAAATGACAACACGCATCGTCTCTGGATTGCTTGGTTGAGCGTGTGTTTGCTACGAAGCAATCGGACTCATCGGTACCCCCGCCCCCCCCCCCCATTTGGCATCCTGCGCACTGCCATCCATATGTGTGCTCGTGCATGTTTCATTCAACTGTGCAGAGGCGACTCCGCCGGCAATTCAGGAGCGCTGTCGGCAGGAACTGCGGCAGCTGCGGGACCGAAAGTCCGACATTGTCTTCATGTACTTTTACGCAAGTTGCACCTCAAACGAGATTTACGCAATCAAGCTGAGGTAGGTGTGTGTGTGTGTGTGTGTGTGTGTGTGTGTGTGTGTGTGTGTGTGTGTGTTGTGTGTGTGTGTTTGTCTGGCTACATCCTCTTGCTCCGCGTGTCAATTCTTGTCTCACCCCCCCCCCTTACCTGCATGAGCCCCAATCATCAACACGTCCACCCCCACCACAATCACCGACACATCCCACCTCCCTTTCCCCGCGCCTTCGACAGCGAGAGCAAGTTTCTGAAGCAGTTTATTGGGCTGCCGTTCAACAAGGCGTGCTACCGCGCCATGCGCTACGAGATTACGCTGATTGGCGTTGCTGTTGGCGCACCAGAAGGGTCGACGCAGACGGAGTCCCGCGGGTTTGGTGTCGGCGAAGTTGTGCTCAATCCTGGCGCGCAGTTTGAGCTGCAGGAGCATGACGTTGCGTACTACATTGCCAAGACGGCTGAGGAGTACATCCGGGAGGTGACGACGACCAAAGAGGACCCCATCGAGCGGGACCTGCGCGACCACCTCCGCTCCATCTCCTCGAACGTGTTTGCCAACGAGCACTCGCGGTACGTCGTGTCGGCCACTGTCTCTGCACGGCGCATGCAGCGGCAGCGTCGCCCGAGCGTGCTTGATTCGCAGTTGCGGTCCGGCCACGTCACGTCCACACAGGCGCGCAGTCCGCTGGCGACCATGTGGAGCGCACAAGCCGGCAACGGGCCCAGGACGACATCCTCGCCGAGTGGCGGCAGTGGCGGTGGCGGGAATGGACATGGAGGGGAAAGGCAGCAGCAGCAGCGACGGCGGCGAAACAGCGAGGGCATGAGGAGGCGGTCACCGCTTGCATCGAGCAGCGGACAACAGGCCGTAACTAGAGGCTCTGTCAGGAAGCACAGCTTACAGGTGCCGACATGGGGTGGTGATGGTGGCAGCAGCGGCGACAGCCGAGTGAGGAACAAAGAGAGGAACGGGAACAGCAGTGACAGCGGCAGTGCCACCGGTGGCGAGCGTGTGGGCGGGCTGTCGAGACAACAGCAGCAGCTGCTGCTGCACCATCGCGGCAGTGACGGTGATGGCGGCGACAGAAGCGGTGCTGGCCGTCGCCCGTCTCAGCTGCGGACGCGGGCGATGAGCACGAGTGTGCTGTCGACATCACCGCAGACCAGACGGCGTGGTGGTGGTGGCGGTGGTGGCGGTGGTGGAAGGAGGCAGCGGCCGCGGAAGCTGACGTTTTGGGAGCCGGGCAACGAAATTGTGGTGAAGTGCGTCCCACGCGACATCATGTATCTTGGGTCTGTGGAGGTGCCGTGCCACCTTCTCGCCCGCCCGCGCAAGTGGCGCTCTCAGCGGCGCAACCCTCTGGACCTTGGGTCGTACTCTGCAGACGAACTGCGGCAGCACAGCGACTACGTGGTGGTGGACATGACGCTGTCCAACTACAGCAGCAGCGGTGCGGGCGTGTATCTCTTCCTCTCGCATCTCCGTGCCGCGCGCTACGTGCAGCTCGAGTGCTTCGAGATCAAACCCATCGTCCTCCTCATGCGGAAGGTGTGCTTGTGCATGTATGTGTATGTGTGTGTGTCTTGTGCATGTGTGTATGTATGTGTGTGTGCGCGCGCGTGCGTGTGTGTGTGTGTGTCTTGTGTGTGCGTGTGTGTATCTGTGTGTCTTGTGTGTGCAGTCGCATTCACATTCACTTGCCCACAGCTCGGATGCTCTGCTAGAACTCACTGTCGCGCACATCTCGATTACCCGCGTGTTGTCTCCCCATCTCTCCTTCCTTCCTTGATCATCGCCCACAGATGCCGCATCCGCAGTTTCTTGACTTCATCTCGCTGTTCCCGCTGGTGTTCTTCTACATTGGCGGCCTGACGTCCCTGCACGACCCGCGCATCAAAGTCTGTCTGCAGCGCGCGTACATTGTGCTGCTGCTCAAGCCGTCCCACATCACCGGCACGCGCAAGGACACGCACCTCACCGACGCCACCTCCATCCTCGCTCTCTCCCAAGTCGCCAGGTCTGCCATGCGTGTGAAACGTGTGTCTGTGTCTGTGTGCCTGTGTGTGTGCGCGCGCGTGTGTGTGTGCCTGTGTGTGTCCGTGTATGTCTGTCTGTCTGTCTGTCTGCATGTCTGTATGTGTGTCTGCGTGTCTATGCACCTTCGGAATGTCAGTGAATGTCGGTTGTCATGCATTGTCCCGCATCCCGCTCGCTTGGATCTCATGATCGCCTGCCTCATTCCGCCCCGCAACGCCACCGCAGACGATATCCTGCTGTGAAGATGATTGCAGAGTTGGTGCATCGCAACAACATGCGCTTCATGCGCTACCAGGCCATCCAGCCAACCAAGAAGGGCTTGCACTCAGACAGTACGTTGAGAGAGAAGCAGGGGTGATGGCAATGTGCATCACCACCCACGCTTGCTGCTGCGTCTGCTGTTGTGGTTTCTCTCTCTTCTTGAAGCCCGCACTCACACACACGTGAACAAACACACACACTCACACTCACACACACACACACACACACTCTCTCTCTCTCTCTCACACACTCACATTCACACTCACACTCACACTCACACTCACACTCACACTCACAAACGTTAACACACGCACACACATATTCACCTGCTTGCAGGTCCGTTTGGGTTTCTGCACCGCGGGGCGTATGCGAGCGGGACGGTGTTCAGTGCATCCATGCTTGACACGCTGCTGTACCAGGCGTACAATAAGAAGGCATACGACATTGTCACGGTCATCAAGCAGATGCTTGGGGTGCACGTGTTCTCGCCGAGCAACGCCGCCCATGGGAAGCAGCGGCAGCGTGTCAACGCGCATTACGGTGTGCTGGCCCAGATTGTCATCACCTCCCGTCTGCTTCGTCACATCGATGGCCCGCCAATCTACGACTCGCTCGTCCGCTACCTGCTCAAGGTTCGCACCTTGTGTGTGTGTGTGTGTGTGTGTGTGTGTGTGTGTGTGTGTGTGCCTCTGGGTGTGTGTGTGCCTGTGTATCTGTCTGTCTGTGTATCTGTCTGTCTGTCTGTGTGTGTCTGTGTGCCTCTGTGTGTATCTGTGTGTGTGTTTGAATAATCTGATGCAGTTGATGTTTCCCTTGCCAACATGAATGCCACCACCTGTCCCGTGAACTCGCTTATCACTCATTGTGTCGTGAACCGTGCTTTCCCAAGGAAACGAACTGTGTGAGTATTGGACTGCTGTCCACGCGTGTGACGATCAACATGTCGATGATTCCGTCGGTGCCGCAGGTCTCCACGCTCGCCCAATCCGCGCCTGTGCCCATCGAATCCACGTCCTCATCTCGTTCAGAGAGCGAGGACGAGCAGGGACAGGTGTGTACTTGTGTGTGTGTGTGTGTGTGTGTGTGTGTGTGTGTGTGTGTGTGTGTCTGTGTGTCTGTGTGTGTGTCTGTGTCTGTGTGTACTCGTGTGAACTCGTGTGTACTTGTGGATGTCTGTGTGTGTGAGTGCGTGTGTGTGTACTCGTGTGTGAACTCGTGTGTACTTGTGTATGTCTGTGTGTGTGTGTGTGCCCTCATGCCCATGCGCTTGCGGTGCTGTTGTGCATGGCCTCGCTCATGAGTGTGCATCAAGCACCGCGCCTTCCATTGTTGCGCGCTTCCTCCCTCCCCCTTCCCCGCCTCCTGTCCTCACTCCACAACCACCACAATCATCACAACCACCACCGTGACTGCAACAGATTGACGAGCACGTTGCCGAGGCGATGGATGAGGCGCGCGAGCCGCCGTCGCCACCACCAGACCAGCCCGCGTCCGATGACGAGGAACGCGTCTTTGGAGACCAGCAGACAAGCGCGTACGTCCTCACCAACCCGCCGCTCAACACCCCGATCAAGGTCGGCGACATTGTGTATGTGATAGCACGGCCAACGGAGTGGGCGCTTGCCCGCACGGCGAACATCAGCATCTGCACACCTGGCCAGCTGAGCTATTCGGAGGTGGTGGCGCCCGTGGTGGCGGAGGAGGGCGTTGATGGCGATGGCGCACTGCCACGAGTTGCATCGGTGAGCAGCACACGCGACCTGGAGCGCCCGCAGCAGGACGCAGACGTGCTGGGGACAGACAACATCCCGCTGTTTGTGTCGCGTGAGCGGGAGGTACACCCGAGCGAATACGACCAAGGCGCGGAGGGCACGATGCAGATGACGCACGGCGAGGAGGACGTGGAGCGGCGGCGGCAGAGCATGGGCAGGCTGATGATGGGACTGAACAAGTTCGCCCCCGCAGACAACACCGTCTCTCTCGTCTAGGATCTAATCTATCCCGTAATAAATCAACCAAGCATGTTTTGTGTGTGTGTGTGGGGGGGGGGGGTGCGCGCACGTGTGCGTCGTTGTTTTCCCGCACTCCCCTGTATGTATGTATGCGATTTCTGCTGTTCAAACCGTTTACGTATCATGTTGGATGCACGCTCGCATGCTCACACGCGTGCAATTAATAAGAAGACAGCCGCATTCAAGCGTGGTAATGGTGTCCGTTACAGATGAAGAAAGCAACCGATGTGGTGTGGGAGAAGCAGAGTGAGTAGTTCATGCAGGCAGCAATCGCGCGGCGTGCACTTGCACAATTGAGAATCATTCGTGTGAGGGGGGGGGGGTGGTGGTGGGAGTGGTGAAAGCCGACAAAGAATAGGGAGAAGGAAAAGGAGCGTTGGGGAAGCAAGCGAGTGTGTGCAGGACACAAGGAGAGGAAGTGGGGACGAGAAAGCGTCTATTGGCGGAAGAGAGACAGCTGCGTGCTGTGGGCCACGTCTTGGTGTGGTGTCTCCAATGCTTACGCGTCGACGGAGAACGGAACACCATCCTTGCGGTAGAAAGATGGTCCAACAACACGGCGGCGGCCAAATCGAGGCTGCGTTCGTGTGTATGAGTGAGTGAGTGAGTGTGTGTGTGTGTGTGTGTGTGCTTGGATGTGCAAGAGAAAGACAAGGAAGATGACAAGGCGAATATCCACGAGACTCGAACACATCACCGATGTCATGCCACTCAAAGCATGCGTTTTGTACTCACGCCTTGGCTTGCAGAGGGTTGAAGGTCGGCCATCCCAAACGACATGGCCTGCGTGGTTGTCTGCGGTGATCCGTACTTCGCCTCCAGCGGCATTGCGCTGCGCATCTTCAGGTATTGCGCCCTTGGGGAACAAGGGAATACACACAAAGCATGCACCAGTCGATGAGGCGTAGGAGGGTGCACACACACACACACACACACACACACACACACACACACACACACACACACACACGGACTGACGTGGACACATGCACATCGAACACGTTCAGACAGGCCTACGTGCAGCGCTTGCTCACCTTCCTGCGCCCTCCTTGCTGATGCCGTCGTACAACGCCGCTCGGAGGTGATCGGGGATTGGCTTTGGGGCCGTCGCGGTCAGGGCCGCCAGACTCTCCTGCTTGCGCGCTTCCACCATGTGTCGTGGCGCCTCGATGCGCGGCAACGTGCTGCGTTCCAATCATGAGAGAGACGGACAATGGATGTGGACAGTGTGGGCGGGAAAGCACGAAGAAGAAGAAGAAGAAGAAGAAGAAGAAGAAGAAGAATGTCGTGTGGCCAGTGGTTGGCGTTGTTGTGTGAATGTAGGCGGTGAGGGAGCAAGCACTCGAACAGCTTCATTGCAGGTTATGGCGGTGAATTTGGTTTGCGAGTGCACCCATCTTCCCAAAGCATAAGCATGTCATATTGTTGTCAAGACTTACATCGACTTGCGGTTGGCACATGTCTGTCGGACTTGGCGCGCATCCTACAAAGAGGGTTCAAGTGCCCAAACACAGCGACAACATGAGAGCGTGCGGAAGAAGAGATGAGAGACACGCT